GAATCCCACCATTACAAAGCTGCTACCTTTCTTCTTCACCATTATTTTTTTTAACTTTTCCCAGTCTTTCATTGGTTTTTAAATTGGAAGCCAAGTGATTCTGTGTTTTCTGATCCATCCCCATATGTCTCTGCAACTCTTCTTTCTCTTGTTTAATTTCCTGTCCCATTAATTTGATCTTTTCCTTTTGGGGGATTATTTTGTATGCCAATTTGGCTCCTTTAACAACTGAATGAAAACAAAAAACTGTAAATATATTGGATTGTTTTGTCTCTATAAAATCTTGTTTTGTCAATTGTCATGCATGCAAGAAATCTCAAGCTGGTAGTACTCTATTGCTTCCCGCAATTGTGGGCCCTAACTATTGTAGGACGACAATTAGGACCCACATTTGCGGTCTGGAGTGGGAATCACCTCGTAAAGATTCTATTTTTTTGGAAGACAGTCAATTCAAGAAGTTTAATCAGATACCAGAGAGAGAAGATAAATATCTCATAAATGACCATTAAAGGAGCCTCATGCTTCCTGTTTCGTGTAATTAGACAAAAAAAAAACATATCAACACAGAGCATTCTACTGCTTGGTTAAGCTTAGCAACAATCTTGAATTCTTGACACTCATTTCTTTAAGTTAGGAGTCTACAAAAGATACTTTCATTTCTTTACCTGCTCATTCATCTACAGAACCTTTCTTCAGGACATTGTGTCTGGCCCAAAGTTCTTTGAGTTCATCAACTTTGGATGAGAGATTCATCAGCCTGATACTCATAGCAATCACCTTATCCTCATACATCTCAAACTCAACAACATAGCCTTCCTCAGCCTCTTTGGCTTTCTCCTTGAGAGCTAAACACATGGCATTACGTTCCTCCTCTTGCTTCAGGCTACGGATCCTAGCAAGTTCCCTGCACTGCACGAATTCCCTCTTGACTCCCCTCAGAGCATTCCTGTAGCCATTCATGATGTTATTCATCGTGGAAAGCTCGCGCTCAAGGCGTAGAATCACAGCCTCTCTTTTCTGCACTTCTTCAAACTTGGTCCTTTTGAGGCTCGCAATTATGGTGTCGCGCTTGTGGCATTCTAGGGTCAAGGTCTGGCGATGAAGCATCTGTTGCTCCATTCTCAGGTCATGTGCTTCCTTCGCCATCTTGGCATGAGAGAGGAGTTGTTGTATTTCAGTCATGGTTGTCCCAAAATCAAGAGGCTGTTGAACACAATCTGCCCTCAGCCTTTTATTGGTACAATTGTTGTGCTCATCAGCCCATCTTTTGCTGCTGCCTGAACCATGGGGTTCGCCGTTAAGTGGAACTTGGGAGACTTCGGGTTTCAGAAGTGAATTTCCATTGTTCTCCCTCTCATCATCTTCGCTCTCTTCTTTCTTCTCTTCAAGATCAATCAATGTCACGCCTTCTTCGCGGGTGGTGGTACGTAACTGTAAAAGGGATTTATCTGATTCCATTCTCTGCTGTAAATTTCCATTCCCATTGGCTAAAGCATAGAATTCATCCTCCCTCTCTTCCTCTTCTCTGCATTCTCCTCCTGGTCCCTCCTTGTATAAAAAACCTCTGCTCTCTTCATTCTTCTCCTCATGATCAAAGAATAAAGCATCTTCTTCACCGGTGGTGGACAGCAGTAAAACAGGTTCATTCAATTCCATTATTTGGAACAAGTTCCCATCACCATTAGCCAGAACATGGGATTGATCCTTTGTATCTTCCTCTCCTGCCAAGTTCTCGTACCCTTCTTGATCATCCAATATCATCATGCCATCTTTAGCCAGAACATGAGATTCATCCTTTGTCTCTTCCTCTCCTACCAATCTCTCGTACGCTTCTTTCTTTTCTTCTTGATCATCCGATATCATCATGTTACAAGTGCCTGATTGTAAAAAGGATTCATAATTTCTGCCTGAAGGGCACTGTTCTTGATCATCCAATATCATCATACCTTCTTTACCAGTGGTGCACAATGATAAAACAGGTTCATCCACTTCTATTCTCAGAATCAAATTTTCACCCCCATTGGCCAGAACATGAGAAGCATCTTTTGTCTCTTCCTCTCCTACCAAGTTCGCATACACTTCTTTCATTTCTTCTTGATCATCCAATATCATCATGCCTTCTTTACAAGTGCCTGGTCGTGAAAAGGATTCGTAATTTCTGCCAGAAGGGCACTGTTCCTCCTCTTCTTCTGCATCCACCATCTCGTCTTTGCTCTCTTCTTGATCATCCAACATCATCATGCCTTCTTTACCAGTGGTAAACAATGATAAAACAGTTTCACCAACTTCTATTCTCTGGATCGAATTTTCATCGCCATTGGCCAGAACATGGAAGTCATCCTTATTGATTTCCTCTTCTACCGGGTTCTTGCAATCTTCTCTCTTATCTTCTTGATCATCCAATATCATCAGGGCTTCTTCATCATTTCTGCCTGAAGGCCACTGTTCCTCTTCTTCCTCTTGTTGATACTCAGCATCCACCACCTCCTCTTTTTTCTCCAAATTCAACAAACCAACACTCAAGTCGATATCTGATCTTCCCAATGCAATCTTATCTTTCTCTTGACCTTCACACTCATCCAACTCCAAATTTTCAGGCTCTTGCCGAATGAAAACCTCACCACACTGTGATTTAATCAAACACTGCAAATGCACTGCATAATAACAGTCCTCCAGTTCAGCTCCCCGTGTCAACTCCCTTTCCACCATGAACCATAGCAGCCCGGCCCAATCCACCTTCTCGGGATTTCCATCCCTGATCATACTCATCCAATTCAACACCTCACGAGGCATCATCCATGTATCCTCATGCAAGAGCACCCAAATAGAAACAAAGTCCTCAAGAAACTCAATAATCTCCTCCGATAACGTCACATCTCTCAAGCATCTCCTTTTCTTTAATGGCAGACCGAATGCCCTGCCCAAATCGGCCTTGCTCACCCTAATTTTTAATCCATTCACAAAGCTATGCTTCAACTTTGAATCATATGTGTCAACCAACTGTGTGATCAAGTTAGCGTTCACCTCCTGGTAAAACTCAGTATTTACAAACTCCCATACCCCAAGACCCTTGAGCAACGTCTCGTGACTAAGAAAATCAAGAATCTTTGAGGGAATAAAAGGGATGAGATGCAGCATTCTCTTTCGGGTACTTACCATCTCATACCCAGCTGGTTCTTCTTTAATGTCACTTTTGCCCTTCTTACGCCTGGAACTGGACTTCATGGGGTGAGAGGGAGAGGTCAACGAGAGAGCCTTACCGGTGGATTGCTGTTCTGGGTTTTCTTCAAGATTGGATTTTGGAATGCTTTGAACAATTTCCTCCTCTGGGATCACCTTTTGCGGTCGCTGTGGCTTTTGGGGGTTTTGAGATTCTTCTGGGTGAGGACCGGTTTGAGATTGGGAACCGTTCCGGTCGTCTGATCCTCACCACGCCGGGGACTGCACGTTTCTAGGGATTGAAAATTCGAAATGATGAGAGGTAGACGAAGAGTGCAGCGGTCTGTGAACGGTCACCACTACACCCCAGGTTTTCAATTGAGAAGACTTCTGGTTATGACCTAGACGGTGTTTGGCAGAAGAACTGTAAATCCCCTGTCATATACTACTCATTTAACCCAACTGTCCCTTGTTTTTTAATTGGGCCATGTGTTTATTTTTTTAGCAGAAGATGGGCCATGTGTTAATTGGTTCAAGCAATTTGAAAAAAAATGAGATAGAGAACAAATTTATTTGTTTAATGGAAGGGAATGAGAAAAAAAGAAGACAAAATAGGTTGAGTCAAAATGAAAACTCATTCCTGGGATTTGTGGAAAAGTTTACTCAAACGTAAGGGGAGACATTGGCTTTTTTAACGTCATTATACGGAGTATTAAGAATAATATTAACAGATACTACCGTGTAATATAGTTAATGGCTGAAAAAGATAAAATAAATTAAGAAAAGAGAAAATAAAATTTTCCAATTTTTGAAATGAAAAAGAGAGTAAATTATTTTTTTATTCCAAAATTCTTGAATTAAATATATCCTAATCTCAACTTGCTTTTAAAGAGTAAGAATATGTGCTCTTCGTCTCATGTGTTCGATTCTAATCAAAATATTTTGGGTCCTGTTTGAATATTTCTGATTTGAATAAATTTAATCTCATCTACATCTTTTTTATATAATTTAAATGGATCTAATCTAATTTTAACAAATTAAAGTTAAAAATAATGTAAGAATTTAAAGACTAACTGCATTCAAAAATTTTAATGTACAAAAACTAATGCCCATTTCAAAATTAGTATACATTTGCCTAAAATTAATATTAATTCGAGATTTACATACCGTTTGGGTGATGAGAAAAAAGAGAGAAAAGAAAATTGACGGTGAGAAAAGAAACATTTTCACTTATTTGGTTGGATGAGAAAAATGAGTAAGAAGAAAAAAAAATTAGGAATCTTACATAAAACACGTACAAAGCTTTCTTCTCCTATTAATGTTCTTGTCTTCAACATTTTTCTCTTTTCTCACTATATTATTATTATTTTCTAACAGTTCAATCATTAATTTTTTTCATATTATTTTTTCACTATTTTCTACTCACTCTGTTCCAATTTATAGTGTCTGTTTCGGTTTACGATGTTTGACTAAAATAATTTTCAAATCATTTTATATGACAAATGATATAGAGTTAAAAAAATAAAAATTATATATTAAAATACTATATCAAAAGATGAGAGTGTATATGGTACATCCGGATGTACCTAGAAATAGGTACATCCGTGTAGTACTCATTCCGAATTAAAGTAGCACTCATTCTCGTACAAACATAATGGTTCATTTGAAAAACGGAGTACTCATTCTAAAATAACACAGTATTCATTCAGAAATAACGTCGTACTCATTTTTACAAATTTGTTCAATATTCATTTACGAATTAAATAATATTCATTATAAAACCTAATAGTACTCATTCCCATGTAACCTAGTACTCATTCTTAAACAAAGTTCATCATAAGTTCAAATTTGGAAAGTGTAAGAAAAGACTTAAGGAAGCAGTAGGACCATCTCGAGCAACCTGAAGCGGTGACCAGATCTTAGCAAGCAGCCGATTGCAGATCAGACCTTCATCTTCTTCCAAACAGCCTCCATTGGAGCTTCATCCTCTAATTGCGGATTGGACCTTCTTCATCGTCAAATCACAGATCGCCTATCGGGAATCAACCAGCCCCATCCGTCAGCCTCCTTCATGGCCAATTGAATCGGCCGTTCCTACAGCAGTTCCTCCCTAAGCCCCAATTAATTGCCGGCTGTACGGTTCTTCCCGTACAGCCGGATGTACGATATAATTTGCGTCAAAAGATCTACAGAACTAATAGTGATAATACTACTTTATATTATCAAATTGTTAACGAAAATAGAAAAAGAAAGTAAATAAAGTTTGACTTTGTAAATAATAAACATGCACTATAATTTGGGTGCAGGGAATAATTTAATTTCTTTTTCTTTCAAACAAAAGGCCTAGGCTCAACTGTGAAAGAAGTTATCCGAGTGCCCAGTTCAATTTTCTTTACCCCCCACTAAACATTCGGGAACTGGAGTTTCTTTATCCCGCCCGAAGATGTCAAAATTATTCTCCTTCTCTATCCTCGTCTACTTACTTTCTACACTTTCCGCCGCCCAGGAGGGCAACTCCTCCGCCGGCAACGGAGGCGGGGCGAGTCTGGAGCTCTGGTGCGTGGCCAAAAACAACGCCGAGGACGCCGCACTCCAGTCAGCGATTGATTGGGCCTGTGGAGCCGGCGGCGCGGACTGCGGCCCCATCCAGGCCGGCGGGCCGTGCCACGACGCCTCCGACATCCGGCGCATGGCGTCGTACGTGTTCAACGATTACTTCATTAAACACGGCATGGCTAATGGCACTTGTGATTTCCAGAACTCCGCCGCCCTCACTTCTCTGAACCCTAGTGAGTAACAATGTGCAATAATTTTCCAGATAAACCTCGATTATCATCATGAACTTCATACACTTGAATCTGATTGATTGATTTCTTTTGTCGTTTGTTCAATTGTTTCCTCTTTTGCAGATTTCAATTCGTGCAAGCTCCCATCAAGGTAATTGCTGGAATTTTTTGCATAAATATGGAGTTTGAATGAAATTACATTCTAGATTTAGTTTTCTTTTGATGATTGTATGTTTGTGCCTACTTTGTAAAATAATTTGTTGATAATTTTCAAAGTTAAGGACTTAAGGGGTCGGACGGAGAGATGTGAGGGAATGTAAGTAGCTACACATGTGATTTTTAGCTGTTAGACTTTGCTGGTGGAATAGCTATAACTCTTCTGCACTTTCATTTGTTTATACACTCTATACAGTACCCTTATTATGATCTTTCTTTAAAATTGCATGAAGAATAACGCTATTTGTACACCGTCCAAGTGTAAGCCATTTTTTACACCAGTGTCTTGCACTTCACAGGTACACACTATGACACTAGCACAAAATGTCAGTGCCATTTCCAGTGTTGCATTGACCTTTTATACCAATGTGTATCTGTGCAAACTGCAAAGCATGAGTGTACAAAGTGGTGTACCTTTGTGGTGTGCAAGTAACACAATCGTTGTATGAAAGCCTAGTGGAACAAATTTCAAGAATATGAATGGAGTATGTCTCACACTGGATTCAATTAGTTCATACGGTTCGGCAACAACTTTAGCGTTTTGAAAACATACTTTGAGACAAATGTTTTACATAAAAGATGTAGTTTATGCTCCGTAGATTAGTAGATTTAGTACAAATGTATGGTTACATTAAGGTGTATGAACAGTGTAAAAGATGTATGCTCCGTACATTAATAGATTTTGTACAAATGTATGGTTACATAAAAGATGTATGTTTGACCTATTTGATTCATTTTATTTCAGTTTTATTTATCTAAATAATTTTTAGTGCATGTAGAACTATGTAACGTGTTCTCGGTTTGGAGGTCATTAATTTGCTGGCAATTTTTGTGTGCAGCCTAAGCAAACCATTTAAAATAGGAGTAGGAACGTCACAAGCAGATGCGTACGATAGCAGTTCTGTAAAGATTCTCGGGCGGATGTGGGGTTTGATCACAATCTGTTTGTTGTTAGTAACTGCTCTCATTTTGTGAGGAAGTTAATGCTGGTAGGATGTGTCTCCCATGTTTGATGCGCCGAAGTTGAAGGCTAAAGTGGCATTTTCTGAAGATCACCTGAATATATATGTACTTCCAGTTGAGGTCTGCAATTTTTTGAAGTATTTGGGTTACTCTCGTTATTTAAAATGTTTTAATTCAGTTTTGGGAACACCATGGTCTGTTTGCTCTTGAATCTTCCCATTTTGACCAGACGTTCATCCTATTTGGGCAATTGTAATTATAATTTTTAGTGAAAGATGTTAGTTATTTATGTTTTCTTCATTGACTCTTAGGCTCCGTTTGGTACACGGAACTCAAGTCATGGAATTGAAATTGAAGATTTCATTTCTAATTTTGTTCTTTGGTATCACAAAAATATATGGATTTGGAACCTCTAATGCAAAAAAATTGGAGGGATTCAATTTCATAGAATTTCAATTCTAATTTCATCAATTCTGTGTACCAAACGGACCCTTATAGATTTTTTAGGGTATTTGGAATATGTAATTTTCTTTTTTGGCCAATTAAGTAATGAATGTGAATTTACATTCATGTCACTATGATTATATTCCCTTTGTCCCGGAGTATTCGTCCAGTTTTGACTTTTGGAATTGTTCATCTAAATACTTTGACTCATCAAATTCTCTCAATGTGTAAGCCTAAATATAGTCATGTATGATCTTGTTTGATTTGTCTTAACATATAGATTATTAATATATAATTTCTATAATTTTTTAATATACAAATTACAAGATAAAAATGATTAAAGAAGTGCATTGGATGGTGTGTAAAAATGAAAGTGGACAAATACTCTGGGACGGAGGTAGTACTTTCTAAGTCTTCTTATCCTCGTTATTCTCTCTGTGTACCAAACAGACCCTTCTAGATTTTTTAGAATATTTGGAATATGTAATTTTCTTTTTTGGCCAATTAAGTAATGAATGTGAAATTACATTCATGTCACTATGATTATACTTTCTAAGTCTTCTTATCCTCGTTATTCTCTCTGCTCCTCCATTCAAACCGAGTTTGTCTCAACTTTGAATATTTGATTTATTTGTAAGTTCGTGGGGGGCGCAGCGGATAACACCAAACACGAGCTATGCAAACAAAACAACCAGTTATGCTGAAGAGAAGACGCTGCAGCACTATCACAGTAACAGATGACAGACAATGTGCTATAACATTTCTCTGTCACAAGCACGCACACAGAAGCAGATGATGCAGAGAGCGTTACAGCGCCTACTGGGCAGAATGTTGTAACTGTAAAAAGCGTAAAAAATAACACCATATATGTTTACGCAGTTCGGAGCAAATTCTCCTAGTCCGCGGGGCCATGTCCGTGTAATAGCCCTCCACTAAATCACTAGATGTAAGTTACACCGGTACATAACAACATGATGAGACACACTTCTCTGAATTGTTATGACAAAACTTCTAATATAGGATTTCTAACCCAAACTCTGTTCAGATCCGCTTCGACTATCACATCTCCACCGAGATACGAGGACAAATGTGTTCGCATCCCTCTCCTTAAGCTCTTGTCCACTTCCTGGTTGTCACGATCTGTTTTTCATTGTACGACTCCTTCTTCATGTAGATCGTATCTTTCTTCACGCAAGGGAAGCTCTAGGACACAACGAGAATGCTCTACATTAGTGTATATTCTTTGTTATCCCTCTCAATCGCTCCAAGTAATTCCCAGGACCTGCTGCGTATTTATAGGCTTCTCTTAACACAATCCTAGTAGGAATAGGTTAGTAGAAGTTGGCTTGAACTCTACTTTCTTAATCTTGATCCAAAAGTAGCCTAAGGAGTTGGAATTCCTTAGCATGAGTTATTGTCATGAAATCACAACCCCAATAGGTCCCTAATTCAGATTGCAGCTTAAAATCCCGTGCTTAGACCTCTGATCCCGAACAGTGTGTTGGAGCATTGTGCTGTAGCATCTTCTGTGTCAACCTTGAAAACTGCAGCAACTCTAGAAGTGTAAATAAAATAAACATCTCTTAACAAATAGAGGTTTCTACCTATTAAAACACCTAACAAATATGGAGTTATATTTTGCCAAAAGATTAGCCAACACCATGGAAATAACATTATTTTGAAAAGGGGAAATACACCTTAATACTCCTTGAGGTTCCTCACACATTTAACTTGTTTTAAGCGAGCCATTTTCTAAAATTCTCATTCATAAAAGAGTAAATTCCATAAAAGGTCTCCAGTTATAATTCATTTTACATATTTAGTTCTTGCATATCAAATATTACTAATTTACTCAATTTTACTATATTTACATTATGATTAAAAATATAGTTGTTTCATGGTTCACAGTGAAAAGATACTACAATTTAACTAAAAAAATTAAACTATGTCAATTTTTTAGGAACAAAGTGAGTATAACGCCACATGGAAGAGGGGAATAAGATTTTTTTTGTCAAGCGTCCCACATTGTCCTGTACTCCCTCCGTCTCATAGTATTTGTCCACTTTCATTTTTACACACCATCCAATACACTTCTTTAATCTATTTTATCTTGTAATTTGTAGATTAAAAAAATATAGAAATTATATATTAATAATGTATATGTTAAGACAAATCAAACAAGATCACACATGACTATATTTAGACTTACACATCGAGAGAATTTGATGAGTCAAAGTATTTAGATAAACAATTTCAAAAGTCAAAAGTGAACGAATATAGCAGGACGGAGATACTAATTTTTAATTCTAGCGGGCTTAAAAAACCAACGGGGCATTAAAATTTTAAAACAAATTAAACTGAATGCCGAAAAGTGTTTGGCCCGGCTCCATCTTTGGCGCGTTATTTCCCAACCCTCCGAAAATCTGAAAAAAGTAAAATTGTCCTCCTAATAAAAATTTCAGCGCCCAGAACCAAAATCAAAACATCAGGAAAACACATTTCAACAAAACTTCGAAAAATCAAACAATCGAACCCATCCCTCCAAAGTCCAAAACCATAATTTTTTTTTCAGAAACCCAAAATCCTTTCGCCAAATGTAAACTATAAATCTTTGATTCACACCAGAGATTAGTCAAATCACATTTACTCCTCTTCCTCCTGGTTTAATTTTCAATTTCATCAATTCCAGGTCCAGCCATGGAGCTTGTTCTAGCAGCCATTGTCGACGAGCACGAAAACAAGGAGAACTTCCCGCCAAGATCTGCAGAAAAGTTCGTCCCCAGGCAGTCAAAAGACATAGTCTTCAAGAAGAAGAAGAAGAATGCGAGGAAGCCATTGAGGGACATAACTCACCTGTTCGTCAATGCTCCGACTGCGGGGCCCATCTCCGATTCCCAGTTTAATTTTCGTCTTCTTCTTCCTCATCCAGACGCATCTTCGAATGCCCGCTCGAAGAGAAATGCAAGCCATGAAGATGAGATTCGGATTCATCATTCTCTGCGCCAGAATCCCGCCATGGTTTTGAGGAAGCATTTCCGGTAGATTATAGCATCAAGTTTTGTGTCCCCCGAGTCTTCCGATTTCACAATTTGTAGATTTCCAGACTCAAAATTTCAGTAGTAATCAAAATTGGGACGAAATTTATGATCGAATTTGAGAGAGTTTATGAACTCCAGTCCTTAATTAAGTTGTGATTTTCACCATATCAGAGTAATTTTCAAGTACTCTGCCATCTTTAAATTAAGTTTCATTTTGATCTTTGTGTTTTTATTATTAAAATACGGATCAGAGTCTACAACTTGTTTTCTTTGCGCGTAGATTATGTATGGACTTTGATCATTTTAATATTTACTCAGTATAATTATTTTATGAGCAATGCTAGGGGTACACCAAAAAAAGGTATACCCCAAATGTACACTACCCCCTTCTCCATCACATATTTTTATTTGATTTTTATTTATTTATTTTTTTTAAATTTTTTTACCTTTTTTAGTGGACAAGAAGGGAGTGGGGGACATATGAGGTACACCTTTGGTGTACCCCTAGCATTTTTCTTATTTTATACTACCTCTGTTTTTAAATATTTGTCCATTCTTGACTTTCATTGGTCAATAGTTTTTAATCTTTGACTTGTAATTAAATAAAAAATATATTTTATATTAATTAGATAAAATAATACGGAATATTTTAAAAATATTTTATATAATAAATCTAAGAAAATTACTTTTGTATTAATATCTAATACTACCTCCGTCCATTGTTATTTGTCCATTTTTGACTTTTTTCGATCAATTGTTTTTAACCTTTGACATATAATTAAATAAAATATATATTGTATTTTAATTAAATAAAATAATATTTTGAAAATATTTGATATAATGAAACTAATAAAACTTTTTTTGTATCAATATCTAATATCATTTTTATTTATTCTAAGGTCAAAATTTACCAATTTTGATAAAAAAAATTAAAAGTGCACAAATAGTCATGAATGGAAGGAGTATAATATGATACTTTAAATTGGTATTTCAAAATTAATTTAGTTCTAGAGAACTGCTTGTGTTTGTCAGAGTTTATCCACATCGAAAGTTAAATAGAAAACTAATCGGTGTATAAGTTATTGACTATTACTAAGTAATTGATTAGATTAAAAAACTTTAATGCATTTTAAGTTCTAACATTTTAATTTAGACAATTAAATGCATGTCATATTACTACACATATAAGTTTTTTAATCGATTATAATGCATGTCATATTATTATTAAAAAATTAAAATAAATACAATTAAATTTTAATTCATATAATGTTTATACGGAGTATACTAGTTGAAGTTTTAAAAAATATACAAAATGTTAATATAATTCTTAAATTATGTGACTTCATTTATGGGACGAAGTAACATTCAATAACCTAAAATTAAAAGATTAAGCGATTGTGTACCCTAAAGTTTGTACTACCTCCGTCTCGCTATATTTGTCCATTTTTTACTTTTGGAACTATTCATCGAAGCACTTTGAATCATCAAATTCTCTCAATGTGTAAGCCTAAATATAGTCATGTGTGATCTTGTTTGATTTGTCTTAACATATACTAGATTATTAATACTCCGTATATAATTTCTATAATTTTTTAATATACAAATTACAAGATAAAATGGTTTAAAGAAGTGTATTGGATGATGTGTAAAAATAAAAATAGACAAAATATCCGAGACGGAGGGAGTATATTGCAAGTGTTTACCTTTATTTTTTATTAGTATGCTGTTAGGGTGTTGGTTCACATAGACAAAAATGTTACTCCCCCCATTCAGTTTGTAAGGTTTGACTGAAATTACTTTCAATTTAATTTATTTGATTATGGTTATAAAATTTTAAAAAAATTAAATTATATATTTTAAAAGTTCATAAAAGGTCATACGAAATAAGATGTGACATGACTATATTATTTTATCAAATACTCCGTAACAAATAAAAATAGGTAAGAAAATGATTAAAATTTGATCATGTGAATAGTAACTAAGAAGATTATTTTAAAACGAGGAGAGTAGTACACAATTTTTTATCGCACAACCCATTTGTATATGTGTAAATTATCACAAATTGTTAGCATATACTCTATTTTTTGTGCAAGTTTGAGGTATACTTTGATTTAATTTGTATGGTTGAAAATTAAAAGGTTAGTTGGTTAGGTGATTTTTCAATAATTAAATCAAACTTTTCAAAAGCTATACTACTAGTAGAAATACGGAGTAATACAGACTGTACAAAACGCGCCACCCTTCCCGCGTGAGCTAACACATTAATGACATTATGAACTCGACAGTCATCGTCAACGAGCAAAAAACATCCAAATCTCAGCCGTCGATCCCCACCCAATTTCAAGAAGGAAAAATCTCAGCCCTCCACTGCTCCGTGCCTAGCACGCGGAGTCCACTCGCGTCACCGATCGTCAACCCCCTCTCCTGCTTTCTGCAGAATGGCATAGAAGATCCGGAGACATGAGTGGTAAGCGCAGCTCGCTAGATCTACCGGAGAGATTGAAGTTGACCCATAGAAGGCGTTCTACGGAAAAAGGTAAGTTCTTGCGGTGTTCATAGTTCTTATGTTTTCCGTAAACCCTAGCTATGTCTGTATGCTTGTCGGAGTCGATTTCATGGATTTTTTAGGTCATATGGTGACATCTCAGAAGGTGATTAGCTCGTGTTTGGCGAGAATTTAGTTGTTTGTTTGTGTTTTTTGTTGAATTTGAAGATATTTTAATGTGTCGCTTGCATATATGTTGAAATTTGATTTCTGGAAATGATTGAATCAGAGGGTTGGAGTTGAATGCGTGACAAACGATGTTGGGTGATGGTGGTGGAGGAATCCGAAGGCATCAAGGGTCAGAGCAGAAGCCGGAGTTGGGAGACAAAGTGTACACAAGGAAGTCATTTAAGGGGTTAAAGACCGGTAAGAACGGTGTTACTTTGAAAGAAGAGCTGCAAATTCAAACCCCATCTGAACCCCCTGTTAATTCCCTTCTGGTTGCGCCCATGGAAGGTTCTTCAAGTCTGAATCGGACATCTACTGTGCCATTGGCCAGTCACGGTTTGCTAGATGGGAATGAAGGGGGGAAACCGGTACTTTCAAAGCAGGAGAATAGTGTAACAATTAGCCTTTCATCGCTGAAGTCTAAGCGAGAGATGCGAGAGCTAAGGAGGAAGCTGCAGAGTGAGTTGGATGTGATACGGAGTTTGGTGAAGAATATAGAGACAAAGGAGACACAACAGAATGACCCAACCCGACCTTTGCATCAGTTGAGTGTGTCTGTGTTGGAGAACAGTCATGCGGTGTGCGATGACATTGACAAAGATAAGAGGACACCCAAGGCAAACCAGTTTTACAGAAAATCAGTTTTTTTGCTCGCAAAGGATAAGATTCCACCTCCAGAGAGCAACAAGAAGACAAAAGCAAACAAGAAAACGGGAAATGGTTTTGGGTCGGGAAAGTCACCCAGTCAAGTGTTCAAGAGTTGCTGTGTGTTACTGGAAAGGTTAATGAAGCACAAGCATGGATGGGTGTTTAACCAACCGGTTGATACTGTTGGTCTTGGTTTACACGATTATTATGACATCATCAAGCACCCAATGGATCTTGGTACAGTGAAATCCAGGTTGGATAGTAATTGGTACAAGTCACCTAGAGAATTTGCAGAGGATGTGAGACTTACATTCAACAATGCCATGACCTACAATCCAAAGGGACAAGATGTTCATGTAATGGCTGAGCTGCTCTTGCAGATATTTGAAAACAAGTGGGCTTTGATCGAGGCTGAAATTGGCCCACCTACTCCTGCATCTAGGAAGGGTCCTAAGCTCCCAAACTCTGAAACGAGAAAAGTTCTTAGCAGGCCGGAATCCATGACGACCCCAAAACTGAAACCTGCCAATCATTTGAACACAGGGAGAGTTGCTGCCCCAAAGAAGCCAAAAGCAAAGGATCCCGACAAAAGGGATATGACATATGAAGAGAAACAGAAACTAAGCATGAACCTACAAAATTTGCCATCTGAAAAGCTTGAAAGTGTGGTGCAAATAATCAGAAAGAGGAACTCTTCTCTCTGCCAACAGGATGATGAGATTGAAGTGGATATTGATAGTGTTGATATAGAGACTCTTTGGGAGCTCGATAGGTTTGTAACCAACTTCAAAAAGAGTTTGAGCAAGAACAAAAGAAAGATTGAAATGTCTGAACTTGCAACTCAATCAGTTAAGGGAGCTGAGCAAAATGTCTTGCAGAAGGTGAGTAAATAAAAATATACATATACGAGTATATATATTTTATTTTTTTTTAAAGTAAATGCCCAATTTGGAGCCTTGACTATGCGCTATTACTCAGTTTGCTCATCAACTATAAACTATTGACCCACTTTTGTCCTCATGCCTGTTTGCGCTAATCAAGTAAGGTTTTTTTGTACAGTGTCGGTGATGACTAGATTGAGTCCAAATCATCACGTTTGGGGCCATTATGAGTTTGAAATTGAGTCTGAATTTAGAATAAACAAGAAATATCCTTCTTATTTAGAACCAAATATGTATGAGGATGGTTCAAAGTTCATAGTTGAGGACCAAATTTAGCCCAATGAAAATTCTCTGACTAAATTCAGTACTAGTGTATAATCGAGAAACTCAATTAGATATTATGTATTAACTCATCATCTTATTTAAGGAGCTCGTTAGTTACATAACCCCACAATGGGTGGGAGCCTTTGAGGCACTGGGTAATGTTGTTGTTTGTTGCATAACCTCTTCCTTTCTATTTCTGCAGAAAGATGCCCCCGTTGCAGGAGAAACTGCAACAGGTGGTCTGAACAATTCTTTGACAGAAGGCAGAGCAGGTGATATTTACTCCTAGTTAGGAACTACTCTTGTGGAAACTACAACTTTTTATTTGTAAAGTTTTTAGATCAAAGTTTTTTTTATATGATGATTTTTTATTTGATTTGTGTTAATGTTAGCAGAACGAAATGACATGTCCTCTGCTCCTGAAGGGGAAAAGCTTGAGAACAATGCAACCAAACCACACATATCTAATCCTGATTCAGGATCTTCATCAAGTGGTAAATAAAATAATAATAAATTAATAATAATAATAATTAGAAATAATAATAATAAGATTATTATTATTATTATTATCTTGTTTCAGCATTTGCTTCTTGTACTAGTGAATGGTCGATAAGTGTTCAACACACACCTTATTTCTTATTGCAACAGAGTTTCATAGTGAAAGCTCTTCAGAAGGCGGATCTGATACAGAACGTTCACCTAAGAATTGAAGTAGTTTCCCTGGTAACATTGCTGCTCTGACTTTTATTTTTACTATAACACTCTCATATTTTCAACAAGGGGGTATCTTTATTCTGTCCTTTTTTTAATTGTGTCCTTTAGGTATATGAGTTTTCTATAGATAGTGTTAGTAAGTCCAGTTCAATTTATCTGAAATTCTATGTGAGTAGTATTCTTTTCAAATGAACATCTGTATTGAGCATGTGATGTGTATGTATATGTGGCTATATTTCATTTGTTGAATTCCATTAAAGATACCAGGATATATGGTTAAGAGTTAAGAGTGATGTTGGAGAGAGTGAGTAAGTGTGTGTGAGAGAGATAGAGAAGAATCACATGAAGTTTAGTTAGGTTTGAAAATCGCAACCTTATTATACTGGTGTTAGCACAAGTAAATATCATTTTGATATATAAACGAACTAATAAATTTACAATGGTTATAACATATGGAAGGTAGATTTATAAATTTAATTAGAAACTTTGGAAATACATAGCTGGTGTCTAATTTATATAAAACAGTACACCACAGTTTTGAAAAAATATACTCATCTTTACATTTTCCTTTTTTCATTTGTCCAAAACTATCCCCCATTTCCTTTTAGGAAAAACACTATGTGGTTCATGCTACTTCTCGTTTCTCTAAATAAATCTCAACTGCACTGTCTTCAATTTCTTAATCTTCGTGCTCGGTCAAAGTTAGAAAGTGTTTGTGAGATACTCCCTCCGCCCCAAAATGAACTTCCATGTAAAAAGTGCACGAGATTAGGTCAAAAGTGTTGTATAATTAAGAAATGGCTTTGATAAGATAAAAGTAGAATTTGTGTAGGTAGTCGAGGTTGAAAGTATCTTTTCATTGGTTTATAATTTCGAAAAGGAAAGACATGGGAAGATGATTTTGGGATATCCAAGTATGTAAGTGGGAAGATGATTTTGGAACGGAGGGAGTAAAGGAGTAATAAGATGAAGAAATTTTAGATAAAATAATGACATCCCAAAAAAATATATCACTTGAAAATATGGAACAAAGCAACAAACCATAATTATTCTGCAAAGTGTAATGTATCAGATTTGTGCTATAAAAAGACATGACAGGTGTCGACAGCAAAAAATAGGGGAAGTCACCTCATTTGTACTCTAGAATTTAGGCAAATCCTTGGAGGGGGGGGGGGAGTATGTTTATATTCTTCTATTTGTTGGCCCTCAGTTTGATCATTAGAACTACATTATATAGTATTGTAATGAATTGATACAAGTACTCCATACCTTATATTGCTTGAGGCTGGCCAAAAGACAGTACTTTAAACATGAAAGTGATAAGTTTCCTACACCATTTGTTTGGAACCATTTCTTTGAACTTTAGTACTACATTTTGGCCTCATCTTGCACAAGTTTTGATCATGCATGTTTCATGGAATTCAGGAGAACCAAATAATCCTTGTGTAGTGCCAGATCCAGCAGCTCGCAGTAACGAACTTGCAATACGTTATGGATGGAGATGAGCTTTACATCTTCATCACTCTTGGCTTCCACAACAAAGTGTGTCTCCGGGACTACACGGTGTTTGTATAAATAGTGTAATAGTTATCTCGCATTTTGTAGCGTGTAAGTATTGTGCGTTGCAATCTCACGTATGTATCTCCAGGGATTGGTGCATTTCCCTGGCTCATGTGCAAGTGAAACATTGCAACATTTGTAATGATTTGTGTAAATTATTTAGAGCACCTTTGGGGCTTCTCTGTTGGCCTGGACACCAAGGGCAACAATTTCAGCATTTTGAAAAAGATTATCTAATGACAACATTTAGTTTTAGAATTTTGAAAAATTAATTTGTATTATTAAAGAATTGTCCAAAATGTAACGCTAATTAAAAATGTCTTTATCTTAGAGGTCCTTTGTAAGGATATCTTATCGTACCAAAGTAGTACTTGGGCTTTTTTTGACATATTGAATAATAAGGCTGAAATCCTTTCTTGTAAGAACGCTTGTTTGAAACTCTCTAAAAAAAACTTAAAATTAAAGTTTAGATGTATAAGAATCACATAAATTTTTTTATAAATTTATAAACAACTTGAACTTGTTATTTTAATAAATGATTACTAAAATATGAAAAAGAAAGATAAAATTTGATCAATGAATTTTGCAATTAGTAAACCTCAGTGGGTTGGAATCTTGACGGGAATCTGGTAAGAGCTAATATATTTTGAATATGTTACCCATGACGCTTTGCATTATCTGTATTATACAGACATTTATTTAATCAAAAAATGATTTTTGTAAACTACTTTTGACACCACCTTTTTTTAGACATTCCATACTCTTTAGGGTGTCTGAATATCCCAAGAAACATACTATGTTTTGCATCTTAAGAGTATCCTCAATCTATTATACTAAATTCAAACTTAAAATAGAGTGCAAACTCGTAACACAATAAATTATCCCTATCCCGTTACACTAAACTCAAACTCAAATCTTAATATATTTATTTTTATTATGGAGTACTTTTTATAGTATCTGAATTTAAAATAAAATTCATAAATCTATAAAAAATGCAGTTACATACGGAGGAATTATAAACTTCATCCGTCCTCAAAATCTTGTCTATCTTTGAACAATGTGTAAAATCTAATCTCTAAAAATTACTTTGTATTTTTTTTACACATTGGTAGTTATAAAATAAAAAGTATATATTTTTGAAACAATATCAAAAAATATATAAGTAAGATGAGATAAGAATATTTCATTTTATTAAAAATCCAATATTATCTGAAATATACTTCGAGTTATATTTAATTTTCTATAAAAAACTCTTAAGTCTCACATTATCTGAAATATAATTCGAGATTTTAAAAATTTGTGATATGATATATACATTTCGTCTCTTTAAGCATTAGAATTGAATTTTTTTATAAAGAAGTGAACAATTTTATTTAAATTTAATACGGAGCAATGTTCTGAAAACCGGACCGGACGTCGACCGGACAAAGCACTGGGTCAAGGGTTAACCGGTTGAACCAGGGTCAACCCGGGTCAACGACCCGGTCAAACTATAATTAAAATGCTAATATTTTATATTATATCATTAAATATTTTTAGTTTAAAAAGTATTTAACTTATGTTTTTACTTCTCCATCTAGTTTTAATATCATTGTGCATATATTATTTCACAATTTCTATTTTTTCAATTACTTTTATTATTATTAAAAATTAAAAGTGAATGTCTAACACACACGTAAATTATAAGGTAATACTTATATTTTAAAAAATAAAGAATATATAATATGTTCTTATTTACTAGTTACGTTTTACGGAGTAAAATTTATATTTTGTTGATTAAAATGATTGAAAATATAAAAAAGCAGCATATTAAATTATACAGAGTAATTAATAATTTAAAGATAAAGAATAATAGTATAATACATTAAGTATATATTATTTATAATTTTCTTAAGATAAAAATTAAATAATACTAATTATATTTAAGTTTGAACTACTTTAAAAATTAACAATATAAATATATTATATAAACATAGTTCTTTTTTTAAATAATTGGAAGCTTTTTAAGAATTACTCTTTAAATAGTTTAAGAATCTAATATATACCACATTGCATGGCATAGTAAACAAAGTTGGAGTAGCTCATTTGGTTAAGAGCTCACTTGCCGGCCTTGGTGCCCAGGTTTGATTCACGGATTGAGACTTTTTAATCAAATATATGCATTTTTATCTAAACCTGGGAACCGGCTGGGCCAACCCGGGTCATCCGATTCGCTGGTTCTTACGGGTTTGGAAAGGTCAAAGCTAGGGCTGTTTTTGATGTTGAACCGGACTGGATTGGTGTCCGGTTCGCGCTCCAAACGGTTGGACCGGCAGGTCCGGTCCGGGTTTAAAAACATTTATACCGAGCACAATAATACGGAGGAATTATGAAGTCAAAACAAGCAATATGACTATGATGGTCGGTTGTAGAAATTGGGACGATTGGAGATGAATCTTCGTACCCAACACCTCCGGGAGAGCATGCTCACCGCCGCCGCGCTCCGCTGCACGATCTGCTCTGCGCTACTCACCCCTCACACCTTTAATCCGATCAAGCCCTTGTCTTCTTCTTCTTCATCTTCGTACATTCATCACTATCCCCAAATCCCTAACCAGTGGTCGGGTCTGCACCACTGGAGGCACGGTCCTCCGAACCACGACCGTTTTTGGGGGCCCGTTGGGCCTGAGGTGGAGCCACCTGTTCCGGGGAGCCCCGGCGTCGAAAGCTCTGAGCAATGTCCGGTGGGCTCTGGATCTTCTCTTGCAGAAATTGGCTCTCTGGTTCTCTCTACTGCTCACCCTCTGAGCAAATCAAAGCTTTCCCACTTGGGTTATTGCAGGTGGCGTGAGGAGGGATTGCCCATTGGAGCCTGTCAACCGCCGGATAAGCCTGCCAGACCTCCATTACCCATTCTAGTTAGTGAATTTATACTCCTATTTAGTTCTCTAGTCTTCCACTTTGGCTGTATCAAATGAATTTTCATACTTATCCTATTTTATTTTGACTCATTTTCAGTTTAGTTAAGTTCATGTCATCATGCTTTCTGTTAAGTTATACTCAACTAACATTTGGTTAAATATGATTAAGTTAAATTTAGTTCACCAAAAAATGGACTCCAAATTATTGAGAATTATTAAAATGCCCCTTGAGAGATTATTGTCATTGTTGTCATCAATAAAGAACAAGCTCATATTATGTTTTTTTTTGTTACTTTACCCTCATTCATAAAATTTGAGGTGTTTAGGACTTTAGGAAAGTGGACAAGTAAATTCAGAGTGAATATATTGTTTGTTTTCATTTTTGCGATGTATTATAATGATGATTGAAGGCAAGAGGGAAATTTATGCATCATTTGATTTTTACTTAATCCAGGTTTCACCAAAAGAAATCCCATCTCACAAACAATTGGGGTTACCCCTTAATGCCTATATGCTTCATAATCTTGCTCATGTGGAATTAAATGCCATTGATCTGGCATGGGACACTGTTGTTCGATTTTCACCATATATTGAGCTCCTTGGTGAGGGATTCTTTGCTGATTTTGCTCATGTGGCTGATGACGAGAGCCGCCATTACGCTTGGTGTTCTCAGAGATTGGCTGAGCTAGGGTTCAAGTGAGTAGACTTCCAATGTCACAATGTATGGTGTTGTAGTTTTGTCTAGTGGATTTTAATTGATTTGTGTCGCCTTTTCCTTGAACCCACAGATATGGTGACATCCCTGCTCACAATCTGCTTTGGAGAGAATGTGACAAGACATCTTGTGACGTTGCTGCACGCCTGGCCGCTATCCCACTAGTCCAGGTGCATATGAAGAAGAACACACTGAAATTGAATTGCTAGTTTTAGATGATCATATGTTGCCAAGTATGCGTTTATAACCAATCAAATCTAATAATGAAAAATTATAGTTTTGGGACAACAAATAAGCTACAAGCCCTTGTGGTATTCTTGGGTTTCATTCTAAAAGGTTCCAGCTTTGAAATCAAGATGAAGCCATGTGGTTAAAAATCTATCTGGGCATGTTTCGGTGTACACTGTAAAATTAAATCCAATCCAATGATCTTTTCCTTTTGAGTTGAGGGTTAATTGCAAATAGTCCCTTTACCCTTCGCAAGAAGAGTTACCCTTCATAGATCGAGCTATGGGAATACACTGGATATGTTGTTTTCGATGATTCAAGTATTTTTATTATCAGCTATAATGTTATTCCTTCAGTTTTACAAAACGTTAAATATATTTCAACCTAAAAACTTAGGGGTTTCTTTGGACTTGGATGGAAGTTATTAAAATGTTATATAGTCACATACGTATAATTAAATTAAGCTTTCAAGTTTTGTCATCCAAAGCATTTACTTCCTAACCAGACCAAAACCCTCCATTGTAATGATGTAGGAGGCTAGAGGTCTAGATGCTGGTCCCCGACTCGTGCAAAAATTAATTGGCTTTGGAGATCACAGGACTGCTGACATTGTGGCTAGAATTGCAGCTGAAGAAGTAGCACATGTCGCAGTTGGTGTTTACTGGTTTTCTTCTGTTTGTCAGAAGATGAATCGCCCACCTTGCAACACTTTTAAAGGTCAGTAGCTCTCTAGTTTGTACTAAGAGCTAATACCATATATATATATATATATATATATATATATATATATATATATATATATTATTGCATACATATTTTGCAGATTTGTTGAAGGAGTATGATGTGGAGCTGAAGGGACCTTTCAACTATACGGCCAGAGATGAAGCTGGGATCCCAAGGGAATGGTAAGGGAAGGGTAATCATTTCAATGATACAATTATCTTAGCTTCTCAAATGAACTTAGAGAACCTTGCATCTTATGCTGTCCAGGTACGATTCTTTGTCCTCAAAGAAAGAAGAAGATCAAACTCCCCTTTCTCAGGTATCTTATGCATATACTATGATCTGATATAGAGATTTGCGTTTTTTAGTACACAAGGTAAAAATGGAAGTGATGCTCCAGTTTTAGTCAACCAATTCTATTGAAATTCCATCACCAGCTTCAGTTAACATGAAAAAAATATAAAGAGCTCTTGAAATACCTTATAGGTGTATGATAGACTGGCTTGCATAGTTTCTATGGAAAAGGAGAACTCTAACATGTAGAGTGGATTCCAACCAATCTCCATGAAGAAAGCAACTTGTACATTTCTTTGAGGCCATGATTTGAACTCCAAAATGGTTAGTGTGCTGACATTTGACTCTAATAGATTATACATTTTTGTAATTTTGTCAGAACCATTAACGCTGGTTTTTAAAAATGTTTGTGTTGGAGAGAGATAATTTAACACCTCATCTAAAAAAAGTCATGTTCGATCCATGTGCAACTTTTATCATAAACTATATATGAATTTATACTTGTATTTTTAACTTCTTTTTTTGGTTTCAATACTTCTTATTGTATTGAAAAATATAGTTTATACTCATTTTTATCTGTATTTCAATTTTTATTTAAACATATAAAGAATGTGATTGACTTTTCTTAGCAGCATTATTAGAGTAGAAAACTCATTAACTGTATCATGTGAGGGTGGATTGCAGGGACATCATATGACTTTGTGGAGTTTCAAGTGGGATATGTTAGGTGAAAACTTCTTCTGTCAGTCAACAGAAAACAATGTCGAATGAAGCAGCCGTGGTGGACCTTAAACCAAGCATTTCCACCAATTCCCTGAACTTTTAAAATAAGGCATCCACAAGGCAGCAAACAAGTGGTGGATTTATAGTGGGGAGAAATGGGAAAAGTTGAGGTGATATCAAAATGCTTAGTAGGAGCAGCCATGGTGGAAGGAGACCCACGAATTTCCCAGATCGACTTGACGCCGTGGGACCTAAAGTCCCTTCTCGTTGGCTACATCCAGAAAGGGCTCATCTTCCACAAACCCAATAACCCTCAAACACTGCAGCAAAACATGTTTGTGATACCTCACTTGAAAGCCTCACTCTCTTCAGCTCTACATTTCTTCCCACCACTTGCCGGCCGTCTTGCGGTAACAAAGAATGATGATGGAACAACCTCAGTTTCAATTAACTGCAACAACGAAGGAGTCGAGTTTGTCGTGGCCCGTGCCAGTGACGTGACTGTAGATCAGCTCCTCGGGCCCACCAACGTGCCTCCCCTCATCCGTTCATTCTTCTTGTTTAACCGCGCGTGCAACTATGAGGGCATCTCCAAGCCTTTGTTGGGTGTCCATTTGACCGAGCTCGCCGACGGTTACTTCATCAGCTGTTCTATCAATCACTGCGCAGCGGACGCTTCCTCATTTTGGCATTTCTTCAATTCTTGGTCCGAAATCTCCCGCGGTTTCCGCAAGTTGTCTCTACCTCCCGTTCTCAACCCGTGGTTCCCGGAGAACGTCGCCCAACCGCTTCATCTCCCGTTTGATCTCGAGAAAGAAATAATATCGGATGCTTTCACCCCACTCCCATTTGAAGAAAGAGTGTTCCATCTAAGCAAAGAAAACATCGGTCTTCTCAAAGCAAAAGCCAACTCCGAAATGGGAGTAAACTCCATATCCTCACTGCAGTCATACGTGGCCCACCTGTGGAGGGCAATCACCCGTTCCCGTTGTGTGAATGCCACCGAGGAGGTCAGTATATACGTGCCGATAGGCGCGAGATGGAGGCTGAATCCCCCTCTTCCGGAAGGGTACTGGGGGAATGCAATTTACAGCAGAGTGGTGAGGGTGAAATCCGGGGAGTTGCTGGGGAGGGGGCTCGGCTGGGCTGCCTGGGAAATACATCAAGTGGTCGCTGCGCAGAAACATGAAGAGGTGGTGCAGTTTTACAATCGGTGGGTGAGATCTCCGGCGGCGCCGCAGAAGAAGGAACTGTTCTGCGCCAACTTTCTGGGCATTGCAAGTTCTCCGAGAAACGATGTGTACGGCGTGGATTTCGGGTGGGGGAAGCCGGTGGCGGCGAGGTGTGGGATGGACAATAAATCTGATGGGAAGTTCAGCCTGTTTCCAGGGGTGGAAGGAGATGGGAGCGTAGACATCGAGGTATGCCTTCTTCCTCAGACGCTGCGTGCTTTGGGAAATGACAGAGAATTCATCGAGTTTGTTACCCGGTGGGCTAAATCTTATATATATAGGATTTATGAGAAATCTATATCTCTATCTCTATCTTATCTTACTATATACAATGCTAAGAGGGCATTGTGAACAGTGCTCCCGCCAAATCGGAGCTACAGTAACGGGCTGAGAAATGGGTAAAGTAATGGGCTATGAGTTTGTATCATTATTGGGCCAGATTATGGCAAACATACCAAACAAATTGCTACCGTAAACGTAAAAAAAGGAAGAGTATGCCAGACACTATCCGTGAGTGGAGAAAGGCGTATTGTGGAAGCTAAGCAGGAGTCCGCCTTAAAGTTCCAGATCTAGGGTTTTCGCCAGTAGCAGAGGGCGACGACACAATCAGAGCCTATGACCATGAATTCCGGCAGTGATGGATTTGAAACAGAGGTGGCTCATACGTCTCCTGCATCGAGGACAGTTGCCTAGCTGACCCGAGATGGTTATTGGCTTCCAATGGTTCGAACGAAGAGGAAGACGACCATTGTGCAGTATTTACCCTTATCGTTTACTCATTTATTTTGCTTCATAGCTCTCTTTCTCTATTTAGGTTGCAAAATTAGGCTGGATTTAAACATGGACTGTAATTGGGTTGTTATTGTTTACTCCATGTATTGTTGGACTTTAACCCCATTAATTAGTACTCTATATCTTACAGATGCAAAATAAAACTGTATTTTTTATGCCTGTCTTATTTTTTTATGCATTTTTTAAAATCAGATCCGAAAGCAGAAATAATTTTTAATATACTTTTGATATTAATTCATTTCATATTTGCCGAAGACTCAAATTTACAGGTATGGTTATGTTGGGATGTGTTGATGGCAACCAGTATAACTCTACTAGCTCAATCATGTTTATGATTTCTACCTTTCTCAGGTCTGATTGGCTTACCATTTCTAATGCTCTCTAATTTTCAATAAGATTTTGCAATTGAAATAAATTAGTTTTACAATTAAATGTGTTATTGATCAAAACAATCTATATTTACTCTATTTTGAAGCCTTCATAATGCGGAGGATTTGTAACTCATATTTTTAAGTCAGTAATAAGTTTTGAAACCACATATTTTCATGAACCTATTTTTTTTAAAAGCAACTATGTTGGAAAAAAAGTTTTGGAATTCACTTCACTACTCTCATTTGATATTCAAACACTATTATAAGGGTAAAGTTGAGAATGAGAGCTAAAAACTTTTAATTTAAAAAAGTATTCAAAGTCAAACTTTGTCATTTAGTGATGTAATGTGCATTTAATAATTGTTATTAAATGATGCAATAAGCTCCAAATTTACGCTATATGCTTCTGGGAAAAGCTTATGCCCTATGCTCCGAAAATTTTCTACAAAGCTTACACCTGATTCTTTTCAGATCTTCGTTGCTTCAACATACACGTGGTGTGTGCTGTCCTCTTCGACCAGAGTCCGCCGCAAGGTTCTTCTGGATCTAGGGTTTCATTCGTTCGATGGTCTCTATGCCCTTTGAGATTAGCGACCGACAAGTTTTTTTCTTGAATTCAAATGTTATATTTATCCATTATTTATCCATTATATTTATCCATTTTTTTCTCGACTTCCATAATAATTATTTATAGATAGTAGACAAAGCTACAAGAATCAAAGATAAGACGTGCGTGCAAAGAATTTCCCGTCTCATATGTGGGACTATTTTTAATTTGGAGTGACGAAAACCAACTTGCAAATGTTGAATACAAACAAGTTACAAAACATTTAAGCTTTGTTTATTTTTTCATTACATTCAAGTTATTCTTATATTTAATTATATTATAGCAAAAAAATTTTCCAATTAGAATCTATAAAGTGTCTGAAATATATAAAATATTTATTTTAATAAATTTTCATAATTATTAATTTTTAAATAAATCATTGGCTGTGCATCTACAATCCAACTGTACAATACCTTATTTTGGGCAATTTTAATAAAATTTGTAATCTTTTTATTTTTGTATCATTTTATGTTATTCCAAACCAAGACTAAATATAAGTAATTTTACAGCCCGTGCATCGCACGGGTACGAGTCTAGTATATACAATGCTAGGAGGCTAAAGTGAATAGTGTTCCCGCCCAAATTTATTGGGCTGGGTCACTGTCATTGGGCTGCATTTGGGTTGGATAACTAGACATGGGCTTCTGCAATTAGGCTATCCATTGGGTCAATCTTGGGATCCATTTCTTTAGCATATTTTACCGTGCAAAAGTAAATGAACCATGTTAAATGTATAGATAGCTTTTGTACAACCAGCATTTAATGCATGTCAAGTAGGTAAATATATAATACAAATCTTCTTTTCCAATTATGTCAATTCACCAATTAATGAATAGATTTTGCACATCTTTGCTTTGTACTATCACACTAGACTCAAACCCGTGCGTTGCACGGCCAAAAAATAAAAGTTAAAAAATAACTGAATGTATTGAGGTTAGAAATCAATAGGATTGAATTAAAATACGAATATATAACAAAATATTTGAGATGATGAAGTATACAATGATATAGAAAATGGAAACGTTACATTATAAGTTTTAGAATACTTCTTTATAAACTACGTTGGCAGTTTGGTTCATCTTAGCTGGGTCTTCATTGCATATCAAGATCTTTAAACCTCTGCGATTTGTGACACGTGAAAGCGCTACGTAAAGCTGGCCATGGCTGAATACCGACTTCTTCAATAAAAGCCCAACATGCGACAATGACTGTCCTTGACTTTTATTAATTGTCATTGCATATGAAATCATAATTGGGAATTGTTTCCTTTGAAACTTAAAAGGAATCCTGGTATCTGACGGTGTAAGCAGCAACCGTGGAATAACAACTTCTTGTCCAATATTTTTCCCCGTAAGCACCGTAGCTTGAATAAGATGATTGCCTAGTCGAGTAACAATCAACCTTGTCCCATTGCACAAACCTGAAGATTGATCAATATTCCTCAACAACATGATTGGTGTTCCGATCTTTAACTTCAACTCATGGTTTGGCACACCTGAAGCTCGTATGTTATTCAGAAATTCAGGAGAATGCATGTCCGTCAAGAAGTCTACGTTTAAATCTGACTTACACACTGCATCAGAACTCAAGTAAGTTTTTGCTTCTCCGACGTTGTTTAATGACGTCATGTATTCATTTATTTCATCCACGACTTCTAGTGTTGGTGCCAAGATTGATCGACTTTGCAAATACGTTGGATCATTTGCAATATTGTGGAAGTCTGGATAAGTTACTTTTACTATAGACGCAATAGGGTCATCAATAGTTTTTAACAACATATCTTCTGGGATAATTACCTCCCCAACTCCATCGTTTTCTCGCCCAGCAAGACCATCACCGATACTTGCAATCCACTCTGCAAATTCTCTCATGCTCTCAAAGTTGTCATCGCGAGACATGTGCTGTAAGAGCATGTTAGTTGTCAAGCGTAAGACCGTGCAATATTTCCACAAATATGAAGAGTTAATCGTAGCACTGACGATGTCTTGCCTTCTTTCTTTAGGTATGACGGGTAGAATTTGTCAAAAATCTCCTCCAAACACAATCGTCTTTCCTCCAAAGGGAAGATTTGAATTTGTTGGACAAACTACACTCATTACATCACGTAGAGTTCGGTCCACGGCTTCGAAACAGTATTTATGGGTCATTGGAGCTTCGTCCCATATTATAAGTTTGCTCATAACCAATAAATCTGCAAGAGGTGTTTTGTGTTTAATATTGCATGTGGAATTTTCATGGGGAGTAATTGGAATTCCAAATCGCGAGTGAGAAGTTCTTCCCCCAGGTAATAATAATGAGGCAATACCACTCGAAGCAACATTTAACACAACATCTCCTCTTGAACGTATGGAAGCAGACAAAGTTTTCCAAACAAAAGTCTTTCCAGTTCCCCCATAACCGTAAACGAAAAAAATCTTCCCCTGACCAGAGTCGACTGACGACATTATAGTTTCATAAGCGTGACGTTGTTCGTCATTCAACTATCCCATCATTGGTTGATGCTCCTCTTTCAATGTATGCCAATCATATTGTAATTCATCAAGAATTAATCTGTTCCGAGTTGTTGAAGCTGCGTCTAGAATGGGAAAAGGCATGTCAATGAAATCTCGAAGAGTCTTGCCTCGCATCCTAAGTAACATCTCAATTTCGATCAAGGCATAATTTTTTATTTGTTCTTTAGTTAAGACCAAACTTGAGGAAAATGTGACTAAAGTTAGTTAAAGAGATTATTGATTAAAATACAAATAAATATTAGTTATATAATACCTTGATGATTTAGAAGACTTCGTTGACGATGTAGAATGTCATCAGCCATAAATTCCCAACACTGATCCCACACATGTTTCGGCCTAGACATTGATTCGTTTGTTAGCAGTGTAACAAATAAGAATCTCAGTTGTTTAGCTGAACACCAAGAACTTGCTTCCTTAAAAGCATCAATGTACTCCCTGTCATCATCTAGTAATCCCAAAGCATAGCATGCGTCACGATAGGTGTTATGAATAACACCATTAACAGTTCTCAAATCTTCGTACGAAGTGGGACCTCGAACAATGTTTAGAAGGATTCTCATATAATAAGACTCACCAGAGCCTGGTGGGACGTACACAACACGTCCAATAGCAAACCCCCTTTGTCGAGGTTCGTACTCTCTTTTAGCTTGCTTCCAAACAAATTTTTGGGGGAATTCGGCATATGTTAGAGTCTTTGCATCAGGATATTTTTCATTTGCTTTCATCCAGGCAAGAAATGTACTCTCTCGTATGCTTTCTCTAGTATAAACATCACCTGCATCATCATCATCTTCAAAGAAAATCCATTGCTCACCAGGAAGGTGAAAGCTTAAGCGTTCCACATTGGGACATTTGTACTGTATTGCAAATCCAAATATTCGCCATGTTGCCTCGCAAGGAGAGATATATCTGCAATAATAGTACATTTTAATCTCATTAGGAGTCTCTGTTGTTTCTTTATCTCTGCTCTCTGTGCTAGCATAAAATCCTGCTGTGACACGGTCGTGGCCTTTGTTGATATACTTGAACAAATATTTGATCGAACGCGATTGATTGCACCATTCAACATTTAGGTGAGCCCTGTAATTCATCAACAGATATCTATTGTGCGGGACTACAAACCTATTATCCAACTCAACATTGTTCTTCATTATTGTCCGCCCATCATTCCTTCTCCGATATTTGGGATACCCATCCTCATCAATATTTGTTTCATCATTGAATTCCTTTGGAAAATATTTAGAGCACTTGCCATCCTTCATGCAAGGTGAGTTTGGTGAATTAGAGCCACATGGTCCGTGAATCATGAAATCTTGAACAGCTTTGAAGTATGTTGAATCTTTCGATTCATCAGGCAATTCCGCAAATATTATCTCATCAATATCTTTAGGAGTGGGGAATTTATCTTCTTGACCCAAAAACAATAAGATATGAGCATGCGGTAGTCCATGCTTTTAGAATTCGACAGTATACACCACTGCATTAAAAATAGTGGTACACGAATTAGAAATGTTGTTGTATTAAGAATATATTACATTTAGTATAAAGCAGATAATTAAATGGTACTTACATCCTCTAATTCTTCCAAAAATCTTATTTTTCTTTAAATCTCGTATCAAACCATTTAGTTTGATGTTAAACACCCTAGAAACAATATCGGGGCGATCTTCAGCATTTAAATCTCTTCCTTGCAAGAAACGCTGAATCTCTGGCCACTTTGGATTGCAAGTGAACGTTAGAAACAAATCTGGATAGCCAGTCCAACGGCATATTGCCATAGCATCTTGATAGTTCTGAATCATTTAACGGGCGCCCCCAACGAACGTAGGGGGTACAATAATTCTTTTCCCTTTGGTAGCCGTATCGTTGTCACCTTGCACCAACGAATCAGAAAATCTATTGTACATCTCACAACATATTTTTTTCTGGTGCATGCTGATGTAAGTCAATCTAGATGACTCAACCATTGTATAACCATCAACACATAACTCTTGAAATAGTCGTCGTGATCACAATATTAATGAACTTTCGTTATCCCTCTCATGTAAACGATAAGAAAGGAATTCTCTGATGCTAACGCTTCTCCGTCCACCAATCTTTAGCGAAGTTTTATCTGCAAATGGTATATCCTCTCGATAACCATCATCGCCATATGGAAACAATAGTGGATATTGGAGACTCAGATAAGCTGCATGTAACTCACTTATGTGTTTCAACGGACCTGAATGAGTTTGAACCACAATATCCCTCTCTCCTAAAGCCTGGTCAAGATCTCCGANCTCTTGAAATAGTCGTCGTGATCGCAATATTAATGAACTTTCGTTATCCCTCTCATGTAAACGATAAGAAAGGAATTCTCTGATGCTAACGCTTCTCCGTCCACCAATCTTTAGCGAAGTTTTATCTGCAAATGGTATATCCTCTCGATAACCATCATCGCCATATGGAAACAATAGTGGATATTGGAGACTCAGATAAGCTGCATGTAACTCACTTATGTGTTTCAACGGACCTGAATGAGTTTGAACCACAATATCCCTCTCTCCTAAAGCCTGGTCAAGATCTCCGATAATTAAAGC